CCACCACCACCACCACCACCACACATCAACACTCACATACAATTAATTCAATTATTTTTATTAAAGACCCGTCGAGGTCCCATCAAAGCAAGTAAAAAATTTACATGCAAATTGTAGACGATGTAGGCAAAATCTGCACAAAGTGCAATGCATAGTTTTTGAGATTAGAAGTCCGTTAAGCAAAATGAAAATGAAAAAAACGAGGGGGAAAAAAAACTCCAAGGCAAAATTTAAAAATGATTGTAGTAATTTAACAGGAGAAAAAAAACCCCTCAGAATAATAGCATCAGAAAAAAACAGGGAGGACTGGCCTGCATGTGGCGGTACAAAATGGAATATAGTCCGACATCAACATGGCCGAAATAAATGTCAGCTGTATATGGCATTGTGTAACGGATTTCATAAAATGGTACGTAGGCGGGTCGGTCAGGACTGGCCTGTATCGCCTTGAATAAGAAAAATAAGTGCCGAAATTGAAAACCAGTCACAAGCCGATAGGAACCCAGATGCGGTCGGTTTCATTCAACCGAGTCCATCCGAACATGGGGGAAGGGAGATGCGACCAGACTACTAGTATATGGCGAATATAGAAGGCTTTGTCAAGACCGCCGATTGAGCGCATTCTGTAAGGGCACGATGACAACCAGTCACGAAGCGACAAGAACCCAGATGCGGTCTGTTACATTCATCAGAGTCCATCCGAGGATAGGGCAAAGGAGATGCGACCAGATTACTAGTTTATGGCGAATATAGAAGGCTTCGCCAAGAGCATCGATGGAGCGCATCCAGTGAGGGCATCATGAAGATCAGTCCCGAGGCGATAGGAGCCCAGATGCGGTCGGTTACATTCATCCGAGTCAAACCGAGGATGGAGGAAGGGAGATGCGACCAAACTACTAGTATATGGCGAATACAGAAGGTTTCGCCAAGAGCGTCGATGGCGCGCATTCTGTAAGGGCACGATGCATGAACTAAAAAATTGGAATAATTAACATTTCTGGTGAGGGATCTTAGGTAGCGAGACTACTCATAAAGGAAGGAAACGTGAACAGATACGGAAATTTAATAGCGGCATGCTAAATTCCCGGTGGCCCTTTCTCAGTGTCATAGAAAAAGTTGTCTGGGAAGTATGAGGAAAATAAAAGTTTAATCGAGTCAGTATTCAGATAAAGGCATAGCCTTCTCTTAAAGTTGTGTAGATTTTCTGAAGATCTTATATTTATTGGAAGGTTATTCCAGAGGAAAGTATACCTGGAAGCGAAAAAAAGGGAGCGCTTAGAGGTGGAGGACACTGGAAGAGGTATAATTAGAGACGAGTTGCGAAGATTGTATGGGCGACTACGAGGGATAAGTGTTGAAATCCGAGGAAGATTTGAACTATGATTAATGCGAAAGAGGAGACAGAGGCCCGCTTCTGGTCTTCGAACCCATAAAAATTTTAGGTTAATTAGCTGACATCTATCTGAGTAGGAGATATTGGGATGTTCCCTATCTTAAAGGTTTTTTAGGAAAACGTCTTTGGACATTTTCAATTTTTAAACGACTGGCTTCATTCATCAAACCAAAGAATGGGCAACAATACTCGAGAATGGGAAGTACAAACATACGATAGAGCCTTAATTGAATTTCAGGAAGATAGAAATTGTAAGAAATAAAGCCACAAATCTGGGCAGCTTTGGCTGTAATTCTGTCAGCGTGCGGTGAGAGATCAAGATTACTAGTGTAGCTTAAACCTAAATCCTTGATGGTGGTACATACAATCATAGGTGTTCCTTGAAAGACCACAGGTTGGGGTAGCCTATCAGGTCCAAAACACATATAACGACATTTAGACGGAGAGAATTCCATTAGCCATTTTGAGCTCCAAGCTGAGAGAGCAAGCAAGTCAGCATGGATTTGCTCCAGGCAATGAAGGCTCGTAGATTTATTGAAAGAATATACACATTTGAGATCATCGGCATAAATAAATGATTGAGAATGTTTAACTGCGGCTGAAATATCATTTATGTAAAGCAAGAACAAAAGAGGACCTAAAACGGTACCCTGTAGGACACCGCTCACAATAGGACTTTCACTGGAAAGTGAAGATCCCACCAAAACCTTTTGTTTACGATTAGACAGGTATGACCTGAGAAAGTCTATTAGTGGACTGCGAATTCCGCAAGCACCCAATTGCCACCTCCCACGCAAGTGGGAAGTATGCATCTCGACTCGGTCCCCATGCGGCTTCGGCTGCACGGGTGACTTGAGTCTGAGACTATCCCGACACGCCAAGCGTCGTGGATAGGAAGGTTGCTGATTGACGCCCCTTCTCGGTCCACGCAGTTCGTCCCGTTATGTGTGTGTGTGTGTGTTGTGTGGAGTGGCGGACTGGTGGGCTGAGGACGGGCTGAAACAGCACCTACCACGGCCCTCTCACGCAAGTGAGAGACACGCCGTTCAACCGCCGTTGTGCGAACTCCTGGTGTATGTCTGTATGGGGGGCCAGGTCGTGCCGTGGCGCGCGCAGTCATGGTCAGTCGACCATGACAGCCACCGCGCCCATTTCCCACTCCAGTCTGCTGACCTGCTCGGACAGCGACTGGGGTGTGGGAATGGGAAGGGAGAGTGAGGTCGACGACTCAGCGCACTTTCTCCTCACTATAAACAATCTGATGCGCCTGAAGCTATCACGGTGCGCTCAAAGCCGTGGCTTGGAAGGTTGCTAACTGACGGGGTATCTTGGATCTCTTCCTTCACTGGAGGCGGTCTGAGAGTCAGGCTGCAATGGCTCCTTTTTAATGTGGCCTTTATGGCATTCCCACCACAGCGTGGGATCCGAGCCAGGCGTTGGCGGCACGCCCAGGTGCGGCTTCGGCCGTGCCAGCCTCCAATCTCAGTTGTACCGGTTAAAATCCTGGTTATTTGTTGTGTGGACCAGGGGGTGTGGTGGAACGCCAAGGTGAGGATCCGTCCGAGCCATCCACCTGCGGCCTCCCTCGTCTCCGGTATTCTGGACTCTGTCTTGACACCGGGCTCGGGTGAGGGAGGAGGAGAGAGTGTAGGTAGATGCGGTGCAAGTCTACCGGCACTATAAACCCCTGCGCAAGTCACCGCCCCTGCTCCCACCGCTGATGCTGTGGGGCACACGATGGACATAATCGAAATCGATGGTCGAATTGTCATTAAGTGCCATGTTTAAGACTTGTCGGTCAAAGTTATAGCCTCCATGCGCCTCGTCGCATGGGTAAAACCTTTACGCCGTTTGCAAGGTTCACTGGCACTCATCCGCTTATCACACTTGAATTCTGTCGTCGAATACATCATCATTATTGCACTCCCTCCACATTAGTGGTTCTCCGACTTTCTCTGGGCCCCATTTTCAGAGTGCACATTGACTCAAACCAGCCAAATTTTCTATAGACACGAAACATCTTCAAAAACAAATAACCGACTTTCTTCAGAGCACTGTTCACATCGTAGAAGACTACTTTGTATTATGACCCGTTATACGGAAT